GTACACATATAGACTGGGTGAAACCAGGATCAATAGCAGTAACTATGAGGGGGATCTTGGAGTCTTAGTGGACAACCAGCTAAATAGGAGCCAGCAGTGTGCAGCAGCAGCCAAAAAAGCCAATGCAATCCTAAGTAGCATTAACAGAAGGATACAATCGAGATCAAGGGAGGTAGTAATACCACTCTATAAATCCTTAGTAAGACCACACCTAGAGTACTGCACCCAGTTTTGTTCACCACATTATAAAAAAGATGTTGAGACTCTAGAAAAAGTGCAGAAAAGAGCAACCAGGATGATTAGGGGACTGGAGGCTAAAACATATGAAGAACGGTTACAGGAACTGGGCATGGCTGGTCTAGTGAAGAGAAGGACCAGGGGAGACATGATAGCAGTCCTCCAATATTTGAGGGGCTGCCACAGAGAGGAGGAAGGGGTCAAGCTATTTTCTAAAGCACCTGAAGGCCAGAGAAGAAATAACGTATGGAAATTGAACAAGGAGAGATTTAACCTGGAAATAGAGAGAAACCTTCTGACTGTGAGAAATATCAACCAATGGAACAGAAGTTGCCTTTGGAAGTTGTGGGAGCGCCATCACTTGAGACTTTCAAAAAGAGACTGGACTGCCATTTGTCAGAAATGGTGTAGGGTCTCCCGCTTGGGCAGGGGGGTGGACTAGATGACCTACAAGGTCCCTTCCAACTTTGATTATCTGTTATCTGTTATCAGCTCTCTTTACCTATCTCTATCCCTGTCTATCTACCTGTCTACCTATCTATCTACCTATCCATCCATCCTTCCATCCATCTATCCTCTGGAAAAAGTGATTTATGGACCTTTTTCACACTTACAACCTTTGTAGTATCCCCATCAGAGGTAGTATTCAGCAGGTTCTGACCAGTTCTAGAGAACCAGTAGCGGAAATTTTGAGTAGTTTGGAGAACCAGCAAATAGCACCTACTGACTGAGAATTTTACAGTACCCTTCCGCTGCCACGCCCACTAAGCCACGCCCACAGATTTTTTGAATCCCACCATTTATCCCCATGGTCACGTGATCAAAACTCCTAAGTTGTATTAATAGAGGAATTCAATCAGGTTCACACGAGGTACTAATACCCCTCTATAAAGCCTTAGTAACACCACACCTAGTTTTGCATCCAGTTTTGGTCACCGCACTATAAAAAAGATGTTGAGGCTCTAGAAAAAGTACAGAGAAGAGCAACCAGGATGATGAGGGGACTGGAGGCTAAAACATGAAGAACGGTTGCAGGAACTGGGCCTGGCTAGTCTGGGGAAGAGAAGGACCAGGGGAGACAGGATAGTAGTTTTCCAATATTTATGGGGCTGCCACAGAGAGGAGGAAGGGGGTCAAGCTATTTTCCGAGGCACCTGGAGGCCAGATAAGGAACAATGGATGGAAACTAACCAAGGAGAGAGATTCAACCTAGAAATAAGGAGGAATTTTCTGACAGGGAAAGCAATCAACCAAAAGGGACATAAGTTGTCTTCCAAAGTTGTGGAGGCTTTCAAGAAGAGACTGGACTGCCCTCTGTCAGGAATGGTGTAGGGTCTGCTGCTTGGGCGGGGGTTTGGACTAGATAACCTACAAGGTCCCTTCCAACTCTGTTAATCTGTTTAATCTGCTTAATCTGTTTTTCTCTGTTGTTGTTTTTTCCTCATTTTGCAAGGAAGGAAAAGTAGCAGCCTCAAAACTCCCCAGCTGCCACAGCACATGTGCTCGTCTCACGTTAAGTGTATCTGAGACACATTTAAACGCCTCCTGGTATCAATTTGCACATTTGCACCAAATCGAATATCGCATTATTCACACATGCGCAACTCACCGCAACCTCTCGGGAGTTCTTAGTCACTTCAAGTGGTACACAGTATAATATACAGGTAGTCCTTGACTTACAAGCTTCAAATTTCCGTTGCTAAGGGAGAAGGTTGTTAAGGGAGTTTTGCCTCCCTTTTATCACCTTTCACTGCATTTGTTAAGTTAGTGATACGGTTGTTAAGTGAATCTGGCTTCCCCATTGTAAATATGAGTCAGTTGCTAAACATCTGAATTTGGATCAGGTAACCGTGGGGATGCTGCAACGGTCGTAAGTGTGAAAAACGGTCATGATGGCAGACCTATGGCACGCATGCCACAGGTGGCACGCTTGCCACATTTGTGCTGGCACGCAAGCTGCAGGCAAACTTACCTCACTGCGCATGCGCATGCCTCACAGCTAATTTTCGGCCGGTTTGAGGCCTTTTTCAGCCTCCCAGAGGCTTTAGGCAGGCTTCTGCAGGCTTTTCAGGCCTAAAACTAGGCCCGTTTCATAACTTCCTGGGACTCAGGAGTAAGGCCATACCTCGGAGATGATTGGCCCCTCCCATAGGGCATAAAAGAGGAGCAAACGGGATGTGAGCTTTTGCAGGAAGCAATGACTTCGTCTGGTCGATTCAAGCTTTGAAAAGTTCTGTTTGACTCTGTGTCCAGTTTGGCTTTGCCTGCGTCTGGCCATTTGTTCTCTGGCCGCATTCCAAGTGCGATAAGGTGGGTGATTTTGTAAATATTCCCCTGAAAGGCTGTTTGTGAAGCCTTGCAGGCTGTGAATGAACGTAATTTACAGCCGTGGAAATAAAAGAGGTTTTGCCGGGACTAAGATTGTGGTTTATGCTTTCTAAGGGAGCCAAGGTCAGAACAGTAAACTTTGAACAGTCACTAAATGAATGGTTGTAAGTCAAGGATGACCTGTACTCATTTTTTTAAATTTTTATTATTGTCAAATTTACAATACATGCCTCCCAATCTCGTGCTTGGAGCAGCCTGAATTATTGGCAGCTAAGTAATGCTGTATTAGCAAGCGCTAAATTCCTTGACATTTCTAAAATCCCCCGATGGGTATTACATGACTTCATTTTAAACCCCGGATTTGTATTTTTATGACTCCATCTTCTGTTTAAAACATCTCCGTCTTTAAACTGCCTAATAAAAATATAAAGCGTTTAAAAATGAAAATCCCATTGAGATCTCAAATCAAATTGCCACGGCTTTGATAGCAGCCAGCCGTCATCTTTCAAATTGCCAGATTAGGATGTTGCAGAGTTATGAGCGAATCAAAATATGTGTTGTGGCCTGCTGGCGGCCTGCGAAGCTGGCAGCAGAGTCGGACAGTGGGGAGGAACGTGGGCCAGTCTGGGAGTCTGGGAGGGCTCGGACAAGGGATCTGTGTCCGACACAGAGATGGGGCCAGGGCCAACTGAGAATTATGTGCTGACTCCGGAGCCTCCAGAATCTGATAGCAGCGCGGCAGAGGAACAGAGGGAGCCTGTTCCCAGTGCACGCTTGCGCAGAGCTGCCAGAAGGCAAGAACTGTTAAGACAAAAGGGGAGACTCGGGAATAAGGCTTGGAGATGATTGGCCCCTCCCATAAGACATAAAGGAGGAGCAAAGGGATACGAGCCTTTTGCAGGAAGCAACTTTGTTCCTTCTGGTCGGTTTAAGATCTGAAGCTCCGTGTTGACTTTGTGCTCTGTTTGGCCTTGTACAACTAATTGGCAATTTAGTCGTTGGCAGCAGTTCAAGGGAGATAAAGGTGGGTGCTTATCAGCCTTATCCCGAAAGACTGGGGCGGACTTCTGTTGGACGATTCACAAAGTTTTTGGGACTCATTACAGGCTGTGAATATAATTCACCGCCGGTGAAATAATAAAAACAAGCTTTTGGGGAACAGCGTGTGATTGTTACTGTCTCAGGAAGCCTTGGTCAGAACAATATGAAAATTTTCAACCACCGGGTATGCTGAGAATCTCCCCGGCGTCTTTCCAGGTAAGACAATTTAGTTTTGCTAAAAGCTGAGAATTTACGAAGTTGAGAAAGGGGAGAAATACGTTAAGTAATTGGCTGGGGAAAAGAAAGATAAATCAGGTTTAAACTCAGGTGTTGTCAGGAAAATATATTTTTATGCTTTGGGAAGATTAGCCACTGGACAGACAAAGATCCATCTGACTGGTCTTGATATATAATCCCTCCAAAAGGAGATTTAAAACACTTCAAAAGCCAGACTCGGTCTACAATTTTGCCAGTGGAACAGGGACAGTCCTTGATTTATGACAGTTCATTTAGTGACCATTTGAAGTTACCACAGAGCTGGAAAAACTGACTTACAACCTTGTTTCACACTTACGACCGTTGCAACGTCCCCATGGTCACATGCTCAAAATTCAGATGCAACTGACTCGTATTTATGACGGTTGCCGTGTCCCGGGGGGGGTGTCACGTGATCCCCTTTTGATACCTTCTGCCAAGCAAAGTCCATGGGGAAGCCTGATTCACTTAACAACGGTGTGACTAATTTAACAACGGCAGTGATTCATTTAGCAAATGTGGCAAGAAAAAGTCATAAAATGGCGCAATGCTTACTTAACAAATTTCTCACTTAGCAATGTAAATTTTGTCCATGGGGGAGCCAGATTCAATTGACTCATATTTATGACCTGGGCAACTGGCTCATATTTATGTTTGTTGCAGTGTCCCTGGGTCATGTGATAACTTTTTGCTAATTTCTGACAAGCAGAGTCAAACAGGGAAGCCAGATTCATTTAATAACAGATGTTAAGAACTGCAGCGATTCATGTAATAACTGTGGCAAGAAAATTCGTAAAAAGGGCCAAAATTCACTGAACAACTGTTCTCACTAAGCAACAGAAACGTTGGGCTCAATTGTGGTCGTTAAGCCAAGGACTACCTGTAAGGGTATGTGAGAATGACCTTGGCAGATGGAGGAAGAAAAGGAAACAATCAGATAACAGATAGCAAAGTCCTCAGCTGCATAACAGATGGAGAAAGAGATTCAGAAAGGATTTCTCAGGCTATAAAAGAGACGGTGGGACGTTTGTACTTTCAGACTTGCCAGATTCCGTTCACGCAGCCTGATAATAAAGTAGAAATAGCTCACCTGTCCTTGTTTCCTGTCTGGTCTACCTGGAAGGCTGACGCGGACTCACCTGAGTGTTTTGCGGATCATGTCTTCGTCGGTGATCCCGTAGTATGTGAGGGTTTCATTCCAGGTAGGATTTAATGTATTCCGCAAAGTTTTGGTCCTCAGTTTGTTCGCCTGGGTGTGTGTGGAAAGAAAATAAATCGATTTGTTTGTATGAATAACTGAAGGAGTTATATGAATAACTCAGGAACACACAGAATCTTTCTTTCCTCCTACCATTTTCCCTACAACAACAACCCTGTTAGGTGGGTTGGGCTGAGAGTATGTGACTGGTCCAACGAACTTTCGTATCTAAGGGAGGAACTAGAACTCACTGCTTCCTAGTGATTGGCCCAGTCACCCAGCCAAGTTTCCTGCCTAAGGTGGGACTAGAACTCCCAGCCTCCTTGGGATTGGCCC